GGAGAGAGTAGACAACCTTGTCTTGTTCCTGATTTGATGGGAAACTGAGTTTTTCTCTATGTGGCTTATTGTTGGTGGTAGGAGTACTGTAAACTGTTTTTATTATGTTGAGATATGTCTCTTCTATCTTTATTTTCTTCAGGACTTTTATTATGAAGAGGTGTGTGTTTTATCACAGACCCATTCTGCACCTAATGAATTAATCATGTTCTTTTTGTCTTTTAGTCTGTTTGTGTGGTGGATTATGTTTATTGATTCAAGTATGTTGAATCATTCCTGCATCTCTGAGATAAAGTCAATTTGATCATGATAGATGGTCTTTTTTGGTGTGTTCTTGAATTTAGTTTGCAAATATTTTATTAAGAATTTTTACATGTGTATTCATAAAGGATATTGGTCTGTGATTTTCTATTTTTTTCTGGGTCTTTGTGTTGTTTTGTTATTAAGGTAATAGTGGCTTCATAAAAAGAATTATACAATGTTCTTTTTTAACTTTTATTAATTACACTTTATTAATTTTGTAGCCCCCCATAAGCCCTTCCCTCCTCCCCTCCCGGTCCCATCCTCTCCCCCTTTCTGCATGCATGCCCCTCCCCAAGTCCACTGATATGGGAGGTCCTCCTCTCCTTCTTTCTGATCTTAGTTTATCACTTCTCATCAGAAGTGGCTGCATTGTCAGGGTTCTAGGTTATCTCCATGATAGTCCTTGGTTGGAGTATGAGTCTCTGGGAAATTCCCTGTGTTCAGATTTTCTTGTTCTGTTGCTCTCCTTGTGGAGTTCCTGTCCTCTCCAGCTCTTACTATTTCCCACTGCTACAGAGGGCCTCTGAAAGCCAGAAGAAGAAAACAGGAAACAACCTTGGAACCTGCCACAGAGGGCCTCTGAAAGCCTCTGCCGTGCAGACTGTCAAAGCAGACGGTGAGCCTGATGGCCAACTGATGGGCAGAGTGAATGGAATTATATGTACAATGTTCTTTTAAGTTTTATTTTTCAGGGTAATTTGAGAAGTATTAGTGTTAGTTCTTCTTTGAAGGTCTGCTAGAATTCTGTACTGAATCCATCTGGCCCTGGGATTTTTTGTGCTAGGGAGATTTTTTATTTTTTTTTAATTTAATTTTATTTTATTAATTACACTTTATTCACTTTGTATCCCCCCATAAGCCCCTCCCTCCGCACCTCCTAATCCCACATTCCCTCCCCCTTCTTCACACATGCCGCTCCCCAAGTCCACTGATAGGGGAGGTCCTCCTCTCCTTCCTTCTGATCTTAGTCTATCAGATCTCATCAGGAGTGACTGCATTGTCATCTTCTGTGACCTGATAGGGCTGCTCTCCCCTCAGGGGGAGGTGATCAAAGATCAGGCCAATCAGGTTATGTCAGAGGCAGTCCCAGAAAATTTGAACACAGGGGTCTTCCCAGAGACTCATACTCCAACCAAGTACCAGGCATGGAGATAACCTAGAAACCCTGCACAGATGTAGCTCATGGCAGTTTATTGTCCAAGTAGGCTAATGAGATTTTTAAATACTACTTCTATTTCTCCAGGAATTTAAACTGTTGTTTCATATTGATTTAATTTTGGTAGGTTGTGTTTATCAAGAAATTCATTCACATCTTTACAATTTTCCAGTTTGATGAAAAACGTAATTGTAGAAGTTTTATGATTCTAAGAATTTCCTTAGTGTCTGTTGTAGTTTTTCCCTTTTCATCTCTAATTTAATTATTTGGATCCTCTTCTTCTGTTGTTTGGTTAGTTTAGCCAAAGATTTGTTCATTTTATTGATTTTTTTTCAATAAACCAACTTTTTGTTTCATTGGTTCTTTGTAAGTTTTTTTATTATTATTATTTCTAACACTTTAATTTCAGTCCTGAGTTAAATGATTTATTTCTCTCTATTCTTTTTTTTTCCATGAGCACATTCATTATATTCAGCCAAATTTGGGCAGATTTGTTTTGTGACAATAGTCATTGAAAAAAATGGACAAGTCATAACAAACATACTTCAGTATTATATTTATGGTGAACTCAACAAGAACAAATTCATGGCTGCAATGAACCTAATCAGTATTACATAATCTGGAAAGTAGGATTGAAAAACCACATCCTTAAGGACTTTACTTTGCCAGTACATATGAGTGATTTTCTTGCTTAATTAAAGTTGCCCCCCACAATCTCCTTGCTTCTGTTTTTCTTTAATTTACATTTTTTCACAATTTATTCATTACATATCTCCATTGAAACCCTCTCCCTCAACTCGCCCCAGTCCCACCCTTCCTCCCTCTTCATCACTTATCCCCTTCCCCTAGTCCACTGAAAAGGGGAGTTCTACACCATTTGCAATCTGCCCATAGCTTATTAAGTCTCCTCAGGACTGCCTTGATCCTCTTCTTCCCTGGCCTGGGAAGGCCTCATCACCAGGGCCAAGTGATCAAAGAGTAGGCAACCGAGTTCATGACAGATGCAGCCCCTGATCCCCTTTCTTGGAGACCCATATGGAGACTGAGCTGCCAATCAGCCACATCTGAGCGTGTGGCCTAGGTCCTTTCCATGCATGGTCCTTGATTGCTACATCAGTCTCAGCAGGAACCCAATAGGCTCAGATCCCTTAGCTCTGTTTGTCTCCTTGTGGGGCTCCTGTTGCCTCCATCACTCTCTATCCCCACCTCCCTCCTCTTCCATAAGATTCCCCACACTCTGCCCAAAGTTTGGCCATGAGTCTCAGCATCTGCTTCTATTCCCCTGTTGGGTGGAGCCTTTCAGAGGACATCTATGGTAGGTTCCTATCCTGTTTCCTCTCTTCCACTGCTTCTGGTGTCTATCCTGTTTGCCATTCCGACTGAGATTTAAGCATCTTCCCATGGGTTCTCTTTAGTTTATGGCTTCTTTAGGTCTGTAGATGACTAACTTATATTATATGGCTAATATCCACTTATAAGTGAGTGTATACCGTGCCTGTCTTTCTGTTTCTGGGTTACCTCACTCAGGATAATCTTTTCTAGTTCCCACCATTTGCCTGCAAATTTCCTGATTCCCTTGTTTTTAATAGCTTGAGTATTGCCACAGCTCTCCTCAGGTGTATGTACCTGTGGGATAACTGTGCTCGTTGGGAGTCCAGAGGCTTCCCTCTCACCAGGAGAAGTCCTGGAGACAGCTGCCCTGCCACTGGGTTTCTTGCTCTGAATTTAGTGAGATGCTGCTGCTCTTACACTGTGTTTGCTGGGCACAACCCTCTTGAAGAACCAGGGAGCCCCGAGATTTGTTCAGTTTGGCTAGGGAGACAGATTGCACTTTGGAGCAGCATCTGGGGGCTGATCCCGTGGGTCTTAGGTTTCTGTAGGTCTAAGGTTGGAGCTCAGTACCCAAGCGGCAATCAGTACCAGGTGAGCGCAGCACTCAGGCATGTGGCAGGCCTTTGGGAACTCTGGAACCTTTCTGGGGATTAGCCAGGTGTCCTGAGGTCAGACCTGATGTTTCCCCCACCATAGTGTTTCCTCCCAACAGGGAGACACAATCTCTGGTGTTTGGGGGTCCACAGTTCAGTCTGTGATAGTGAGTAGAGCAAGCAGGCACAGACGAGTGGCTCAGCACTAGCAACTGAGTGCCTGCAAGAACCTGGGAATTCTTCTGGGAACTTTTTGCAGGGGGGGGGGTGTTGCCTGGGTGTTGCCTGGGTGTTGCCTGAGATCAGATCTGGTATTTCCTTCACCATGGGGGTTCCTCCTGACAGGGAAACCCAGTCTGGTGTTTGGGGCCTACAGTTCTGCCTGGGATGGTGAGTAGCATGTGTAGGCCTGTGGTTCTGAGCTTGGTGACTGAGCACCTGCCTGATCTTGGGACCTTTTCTGGGGGTTGTCTGGATGACCTGAGGTCTGTAGGCTCTGACTGCTCCCTTCACTGTGGGCTTTTCTCTTGACTGGAAAATCCAGTCTCTGGTGGTGTGGGGCCAACAGTTCAGTGTGGGATGGTGATCAGAGCACGTAGACCTGTGGCTCTGAGCTGGCTACCGAACGCCTACCAGGACCCACCTGTGGGACCTGGAAACTCTTCTGGGGTTTAGCTGGGTGACCCGAGATTGAACTCGATTGCTTCCCATACTGTGGGGTCTCTTCTCACTTGGGAAACAAAATCGCTGATGTTTTAGGGCCCACAGTTTGCTCGTCAGAAATAGTGTGCTCTGGGTGCTGCCATCTTGGATCTCCTGTCTATTCTTTTTGGGTATTATTCCTTGTTTTTCTACAGCTTTCAAGTGTGTCTTTAAGTTATTAGTATGGGATTTCTCAATTTTTTTATATAGGCACCTAATACTATTAACTTGCCTCATTGCATCCTACAGATGCAGGAACTCCACAAGGAGAGCAACAGCACCAAAAAATCTGAGCACAGGGGTCTTTCCTGAGACTGCTATTCCAACCAATGACTGTGCATGGAGATAACCTAAGACCTCTGCACAGATGTAGCCCATGGCAGTTCAGTATCCAAGTGGGTTCCATTTTAATAGGAACAAGGACTGTCTCTGACATGAACTGATTGGCCTGCTCTTTAATTACCTCCCCCTGAGGGGGAAGCAGCATTACCAGGCCACAGAAGAAGACAATGCATCCTCTCTTGATGAGACCTAATTGACTAGGATCAGAAGGAAGGAAAAGAAGTCCTCCCTTATCAGTGGACTTGGGGAGGGGCATGCAGGCAGAGGGTGGAGGAAGGGAGGGATTGGGATGGGAGGAGGGAGGGAACCACGGGGGTATACAAAGTGAGCAAAGTGTAATTAATAAAGAAAAAAAAAAGAATTGCTGTGCACCAGGAGGCTGAGTTCCCTAAGGGGAATTAGGGTGGGCTGAGAGGAGGACCTCCTGCAGGTAGACTCCAGCAGAATTAAATATAAGTATGGAGAACAAGATGCTAAATTTTAAAATATGCACGGAGTATACACATTGTGTTCATTTTCTGCCTATGATCCTTAGTATGGAATAGTAAGTATCTGTCTTTTTCTCTTCACAGGAAAGAACTGGCAGAGCTCATGAATGTGGAAGAACAGAAAGTGCAGGTCAGTCATCTTGCCTATGTTGTTTAGCGGGGTGCTGATCTCAGACCTGCCTCAGGACATGCATGGCCTTGTTCTAGGCCTGTGCAATTGCCATATTTTTATTGTCTCTTTAATTGTTGTATTTTTCTTGGTGGTTTTATGCTGGAAAAGAAGATTTGGACTATGGGGCCTTGGCAAGTAGAAACTGGACAAAGGAAAATTTTAGCAGGTTATGTCTACCCCATGAATGGCATTCATATGCATTCCTGAAGTAAAAGCAAAACAAAATAAATAGCATCTTCACTTCTCTCTCTCCCCCCCTCTATATGTGTGTGTGTGTGTACATATATATTTTGGACATAAATGTGATATACACATATACAACCTATAATTAACATATGACTCCTTGTGGCACACAAGAGACCTTCACAAGGGTATTCTATAATGCATCATTTTGAAACTCAGGGTGACTTGGAAATAATCATGTGATTGCATGGAGAATCTGGTGACAATAGCTCACATATGCACTCACTAAAAGAATGAATGAATGGTCTGGAGCAGTGACACACTCCTGTAATCCAAGCACTCCAGGAGGCAGAGGCAAGCATATTTCTGTGAGTTCAAGGCCAGCCTCATCTACAAAGTGAGTCCAGGATACCCAAGGCTATGCAGAGACTCTGTCTTAAAAAAAGAAAGAAGAAGGAGGAGGAGGAGGAGGAGGAGAAGGAGAAGAAGAAGAAAGAAAGAAAGAAAGAAAGAAAGAAAGAAAGAAAGAAAAAGAAATGAATGAAAAATATGAGGAAAATGGAATAATTGAGCTATAAAATACACTTTCATAAACTAACCCCTGTTCACATTAGGTGTGATAAATGTGGATAGAAAGCCTAAGTCCAAGATAGTAAATTTCTTCATTTCTTTTAGAAAGTTTTGAGACTGTGATCCGGATAATGGCAGTTCTAAATTTAACTTTCTGCCATTATATATTGTGTCCAGAAGAAATATTGCCCAAAAATTCCCACTAGGGTGGAAAAGAGTCATTTTTTTTGGTTACAAAGGGAGTTCATGAGCACCTTGGCATGCACAAGAACTTGTCTAAGGAAAAATTTTTTAAAGTATGACTGTAAGCCTATGCACAGAGATTAGCACATGGCTCTAATTGGGTAATGCTGTGCAGAATAAAGGGTGTGATATTATGTGCTACATATTTTTCTTTACTTTTGTCTTGGGGACATATAAAACAGGAACTAAGAAACTGGAGGTCAGTCCTTGACCTGGAATAATAGAGTGCAGCCATGCAAAGCATTTGAGCACTTAAAACTGCATGTGGTTTCGTTCCAATTTTTAGTATATGTGCTGCCGAAGCGAGCACTGCATGTGGTTTCAAAAGAGATTTGTGGGCAAATGAGGCTAAGTGATGTGTTTTCTCATCAGAGCAGCAACTGCTAAATATATTAATCTAATCCCTGTCTCCCTATGATTTCAGGATTGGTTTAACAATAAGAGAGCAAAACTGAGGAGGAATCAGAGGAAAATACTAAAGGGCATAAACATCCCTCCTACCCAGGAAAGCCTTCGCATGAAGACTGTGGTGGAGTCCAAGAGCATCTTCATTCTCCAGGAGCAAGTGGAAGACGGGCTCTTCTGGTGACACCAGAACTCTGACACCCATGCTGGCCAGGACATCCCTATCCGTCTTCCTTTACATTAACAATAAAGTGCAGAATTACCCATTTATTCCTTGGATGTGTCCTGCACAGAAAAGGCTGTCTTTCTACAAAAGGCAGCTCAGG